TATTTCAAAGGTATTGAATCTGGTATAGAACTATCACCCATGGAGAAATTCCCGACAAATGGGTATTCATTCTTTACTTGGATAAAGATGGATGCAATACCATCGTCAAAAGAACATTTAGAAAATGGAAACTATGTACCTAGGCTATTTTCATTCTTCACATTGTCTGGGGATGGGATTGAAGCATACTTTGAAAATAATGAACTTTGTTTTCATAGCAAAAAGGGTGAAGTTATTTCAAAAGCTGTTATGAATAATTTCAAGTTTGCCCAAAAGAGATGGTACTTTATCGTTATTGTACATCAACCGGAAAAGAGAGGTTGGACTATTACTCCATCCGAATTAAGTGTCATTGTGGATGGTCATATCAACTTTAAAGCACGTCTAGAATATCCTGTGGATATCTATTCTAAGAATATCTCGTCTTTTGATTATTGTTCAATCGGCGCCAGTATGTCAATAAAACCACCACCGTCTCCCGACGACACTCACTCGAGCGCCTCAACATCATCCAGTGGACTTCATAATTCTTTCCGCGGTCAAATGACAAGTTTGTACATGATCAACGATATTCTAACCAAAGAACAGATAAATGCCCTCTATGAACTTGGACCAAATCATTCTACGCAATTTGAACCTGATCAAAAAAAAGGCATCTCGTCGAGTTGCAACCTGTTCGACGGAACTCTTGGTTCCAAAATAATCTTTAATTTTCATGTGAAGGCCTCATCAGGTCAGAAGTGTTTTAATTTAGCACCACGAAATTTAGCTACTAATACTCGAGAAATGATCTCAGCTACTTTGTTTGGCGTAGAAAAATGCTCAACACTTAGCCTAAGAAATGCAATACAATGTCTGGGTGATGTGGAAATTCTTTTCCCCATTATAATGAGGTTCGATGATCTGAATTCAGTTAGCCTTCAAGCTCCATTCGGATCGCAAGACAACTTTTTTGCGTCGGTTGGGCCTTGCAAAGCTTTTTTTGATCTTCTGTCCTCGTTGTTGCAATCCAATACTAAAAGTCAGAATCACATAATCAAATCTCGTGGGATCAAGGTTGTTAGCTTGTTATTGCAGCAGGTTGGACCAAGACATTTCTCTATATCAGCATTTAAAAGTATGATCACACTAGCGAGCAGTTTAGAATCTAATGAAGATTTGGCGCGCGAGATTCACTCGAACCTTGTCTTTGAATTTCGCTTGTGGATGTATACATCAATGGGCGTTCAGAGATATTGCATAGAGTTCCTTAAGAATTTCATTGATTCCAGAAAACA